TAAACAAGCTTAAACTACCAGAAGGAAGCAAAAAGAGCTGAAATGAGTCCAAAAATTATAAAACAGCTGAAAAATAATAAATTTGTACAAAATAGCTAAATAGTAGCTTAAATACAGTAGCAGAAAAAGTTGAAAGTAGCTGAAATAACTTGAAGGGAGCATAACAAGCTTAAATCAGTAGAGAAAAGTTAATTTGGCTGAACGTAGCAGAAATTACCACGAAAAACTGGAATTTATAAAAAAAAACAGCTGAAATGAGCTAAAAGCATGCTGAAATGTAGCTGGAATGGAAGAACAAGTCTAAGTTAGCAGAAAAAAGCAGAAAGAACACATATTTGCTGAATTAGGTTGAAATAAGCAAAAATTAGCATACAAATTTGGATATTTGATAAATAAGCTGAAATGAGCAAAAAATAGCTTAAAAGGCAGAAAGAAGCTTAAATTACCAGAAGGGAGTTGAGAGAGCATATTGTTGCTGAATTAGGCTGAAAAAGTTTCAATGAGTGCAAAAAATGTGGAATAGCCAAAAAAGCTAAAATGAGCAAAAAATGGAATAGTAGGCAAAATAGCTTAAACTTACAAAAAATAAGCTGAAAGGAGCATAACAAGCTGAAATTAACAGAAATAAATTAAAAGAAGCACAAAAATGTAGTTAGCAGAAAAAAAGTTTTAAGGATCACAAAAAAGCTGAAAAACAAATGAAAATAGCTGAAAATGAGCTTACATTTGCACAAGGAAGCTGAAAGAAGCTGAACCAGAACAAATTGTGAAAGGAGCAGTAAAAGGTTGTAAACAGGTCTAAAGATTTGAAGGATGTAAAATGAGCTCAGTTCATTTTCTTTGAGAAAAAAAGTGGCAGAAAATGCTAAATATTTCAAAAAGCTAAAGTTGCACCAATACCAAAAGTAATAGCACCCTTTTCTTGAACAAGCTGAACATTTTGATATATGATTTGTTGCAATAGCACAAAAACTGTGGAACGAGAAAGCTTCTGAAAAATGTACAGAAGAAAAATGGATCACAATAGTGTGAGTGCTTTATAAACATTCACACAATAATTTGACGATGTCACCATTGACCACCTTATGATCCAATATATTATGTCCCTTCAAGACAGTATCCCACTAGGCTTCGACTGCTGCCGGCTTCTTGGCCTATTTTCTTGCAGTTTGGGGTCTCTGACTAATGTCCAGCAGCTGCAGCCATTTGAAATACTACTTTTAAATCTTATGGACGGTGCTTGAAACTAACTTTATCGGACATGTGTTGCAAAGAATTTCTTCTCTAAATACTTTTCTTTAAAGCACAAGCAAAAAATCTATGGCACATGATAAAAGACTAAGATTGGGAAATTGTACTTTTGATTTTGACTTACGAATTGATTGCTGGTCAAAGGAAACCAAGTTAGAAAACTCTGTCTGAAAACTGACATGAACCATGTCTCACTATGGATAAGGAGTTTTTTTTTTAATCTATTAGTGTATATAGGAAATTAACACAAAACCTCTAGCTAGTGTCGGTCAGTGTGGTTGTAAAATATAATTTTCAACAGGGATGAACGTTTGAAAATATGACAAATTTCCAAACTGTTTCAGGACCCCCATATTCATCTAGATACTTCAAAGATTGCCCTATGATAACTTTTTTCTCAACTCCTTTTAGATTTGCTTTACTCTGGATGATGATCCTATTACAATGTCAAAAACAACAGGCCGATTGTGGGTGATGTTAACAGGGTATGACGTGGTTTTAAGGTTTGTTCATTCAACCTTTATTTACACAGGTTAATCCCATTCAAGGTATGTATTGAAACCACAATGGGCTCTAATACGAGTGTTATAGGTAATGATTGGTAATGGAGGGTTTTGAGTGCAGGTGTGGTGGTATATTATCATGATGGCAGTGTATCCATGATGTGGGGTCCTGGCATAGCTTGTTTGTTGGGAATTTTAAACAGCAATGGCTATGTTGGCTAGGCTATGACCACGTTGACTGAACCAGTCTAGCAAAGACAGGGTACCTGTGGGTTTAGCATTGTGCTAACATGGCGTACTCTTCTAGCCAAATCCCAACACAGTCTGAGAGTTGTGCCATGATGTGGTTGTATCATCGTGGGAAAATACAGCTGATGTATAAAGGAGTAGTAAGAGCGCAGTTGGTAGCATTGCAAAATTCTGGGGATTTTTCAAATTTGGAAACTTTCCATGTGACTTGGAGTTTAAAATAAAGAACGTTACAACAAATAGTGATGCAATAACAAACAAAAAAAGAAAGAACTGTAAAAATGTTCATAATGCATTGGTTTCTAAAAGCTGTGGGTTGTGACACAGCAGTAGCCCATCTCAACAACACGGAAACTAGAGGAAAGTCTATTTGACGAGTTCTAAAGATGTAGCAACATCATGAAAACTGATGGAAAAAATATGTATTATGTGTTTTCTTTTTCTTTTAGTCAGAAAGTGTTTCTACTATGTGAAATTTTTCCAGCTGCAGGGGGGGAGGAAATTTTCCCTTTTGAGCTTGGAATGAATAAATATTTGTTTTGTTGTGTTGATGTCAGAGAGGTTTTGCGCGTTATTGTAAGGACGACATTCTGTACTGGATTTTGGAGGGCGGCGTTCATTTGGATGTGAGGTCAGTTTACTCTCTCCTTGCAAGACCTGGACTCCTGAGTAATGATTTTAGAGAATTTTCTACCAAAACTTTCACGTTGAAGGAGTTTTCTAAATTTTATGGATTATATGCTGCTTTTTGCTTTTGTTGTCCATCATATTTATGAAATAAACAAAGTAAAACGTTTTACTATGCCTTAAACTAGAGGTACCGAACACTGATCCTTGGGGTCCAACGTCCTGTTTTGTTTTACTTGTTTTCCTCCTTCAACACTCAAGTTTTGCAAATTCTGCCAATGGTGCGTTGGAGGAGAAGGACATCCAGAATGTGCAGGACAGTGGGCCCCAAGGGTCAGTGTTGGGGACCTTTGCTTTAAACTACCGTATTTTTCGGACTATAAGGTGCACCGGATTATAAGGTGCAACATCAAGAAACGGGTCTATTTTCATACATAAGGCACACCGGATTAGAAACAAAACAGTCAAATAAGTCAAACTTTATTCAACTCATTCACAGTAACTCTCAACATTGTTCAGTTGTACCACATACAATCAGTTCGAGGTCAGTAAGCACAACCAGAATTAATACATAAGGCGCACCGGATTATAAGCTCGCTGTCGATTTTTGAGAAAGTTAAAAGGATTTTAAGTGCGCTTTTTAGCCCGAAAAATACAATATACTATTTTCATCTTTTAAAAAACCAGTTCCATACAAAACAAACCTATTTATATCACTGATTTTCAGCTAGAAGAGTTAAACAACATTTTTGTTACTTTTAACTCTTGAATATTCGTGAAACTCACATTTTTCCAAGCAGTTCTACCTTTAAGGTCTTGGAGTTGTTTAGTTTGACTTCATTGTTGTGGGTCTTTCATGATTACTTTGCGAGTCTTTATAAAGGTGTAAAAACCAGCCTCCGGCTCAGAGAGTTAATGCATTTCTGCTTTCCTTTCGCTCCGTTTATTTACATTTCAATGTTTTTAGGCTGTTTTCCACCTTTATACTAATACATGCACTATAAAAGTAAAGAAACAGATGGGATTCTGTGTACATGGTTAAAAATTGATTAAACACAGGTCCCAAAATTAGCAGAGAAGAAATTAAACCATTGTTTCATTTGTAACATTTGAATGCATGTTGCAGAATGCCTTTAAGCACATAAAGGGCGCTTCAAGTTAGGAAAACAAAGTCTAAACTTTTAATTAAAGTATACCAATAACGAAACATTTATCCCGAGTTTAATTACGTTTCATCTTTTCACATTATCGTTTCCTTCCTACTTGGGTTTTTGGAGCCTTGATGTGGTCTAAAACTGGTAAAATAACACAGTGTCATGTGTCATGGTTCACATGAGCTGAATTTGTCATCCCTTCAACAGATGGCTGTCAAACCCACAGATACCTTTGGTTAATGTGCTGCTGAAAATCAAGATTCGCAGCTCTGATGGATGGCTGCAGCTCCGGCTACAAATGCAGCTGTGAAGATGCTGCTGCTCCGTCCTAATGGAAAATGTTCACAACACTTTGTTTTTCTGCTCGATTCAATCTCATTCAAACACATATTAGGTTTTCAATCTTGTTCGATTCCATCGGCCAATTGGACTCAGGGTGATACTTTATAGTCACGTCTGTTTTTGTCTTTTTGTTTGCCGGTTCGGTTGGGAAGTCTGAACTCGGTAATAATCTCCCAGAGAGGGAGTGCGAGGAGGAAGAAAAAAAAAAAAAGGGGGAGGGAACCCTGTCCCTCGCGCTGCCCTTTCAAGTTATTGAGTTTGTCTGCTGAATACACAGAGCAGAGCTGCAGCAGGAGCACATGGCTGCTTGGTTAAACAGCGGCTGGGAACAGAATAATCGCCATCCGTGTTTATTCTCTTTGACAGTCTGATCACAGGAGGGAAGTGTGTGTTTACATTCAGTCCATCCTCCACATCTTTGTGGAAATGAGCAGTTTATACCCGTTAAAGGTTCAACGAACGAGTTAGATCATCTCCTTACATAATGCGTGAAGGTTAATGCGCTAAAGTCATCGAATGGGACTTTACGTGCATCCTCAAACAACAACAAATGCCACTTCCTTTTAACTTTATTATTTTACATCTTTTTTTATGTTTCATGTCATTCAAAAATGTTTTTCTTTTCATATATTGTTTCCTCTAATACTACATTATTTTAGCTATCGTTCTGCTACTTTTAGTTTGGTGCTAGCATTGTGCAGCTTTCAAATGTTAGCTAGACAAGTTACTTGCACAGTAGATGACAGCTGGGTCCTTTGCTGTTTTGCTGAAAGGAAAGTGGCCCTTCCCTGCTTTTAGCTAGGCTCTTCGCTGCTTTTAGCTAGGCTCTTCGCTG